ATTATTATCCCTTATTACAATAAAGCCAGATGGAGAGTTTATTACTTCAAATTATTTGAAACCCAATTTTAACAACGGCATAATTTTCACGTCAATTTTTGGGCAGCAAATGCCCGACTGACGTCAGTTATTGACGTTAAATTGCCGTCATTATAACACCACAATGTCACAAGTAAAATGAGGTCAATTGCTAACGTCTTAATGACACCAATTTGCTGATGTCTTAATGACGTCATTTTGCTGACATCTTAAAGACGTCAATTGCTGACGTCGTTATCACCTCAATTGCTGACGTAATTAATACGATTTTTGGTTTTCTAAATAGGGTTTTATATTTGGCAGTTACAAAAACCTTATTTCTATAGCTTAAATGTATTATTTAACTTAATTTTTGTTTAGCGGAAGAGTCTCAAACAATTGCCTGATTCATACCTATGATGACATGGATCGTATGAGCGGGGAAGATAAAAATTGTAAAAACGCAAACTTCCAACTACCTATGCATTGATAAATTAGTTATTAAATAAAAAAGATTCTCGAACATTACAACGGAAAAATTAAATTCAATGGAAATGATAATAAGTTGATAGTCCACATTATAGGCGAGACGGGCTACGCTTTCAATTCAAATGACCTTCAAAGTTTTATGAGAATGGGAATGCAGTTAATCCAAAAAGCAAAGCAAAGGATGTTACAGGATCGCACCGAATCCCACCATCACCAAAAGCGGGGATGTTTTCATCAAAAGTCTATACCTTCTGTGCTTCTCTATCCGCTGCATTTTAGCTAGATCAGTAGATAACATATTCCATTCCTGCATACTTCAAATTCTTCAAATTTGTATTATTTGAAAATGAGGTACCTGGAATACGTTACGTGTCCTCAAATTGCAAATAATATTGTTTTCTTAAATCTGATGAATTCGATACTTGGCAAACAGAGGGTCCGATGGTAAACACAAATAACTCTTCAAAGTAATACTTATAGTTATGCAGGAAGAAGTAACAAATTTATGGTGAAGAAATTTTCATTTTCTGGTAGAATACGATAAGCAAAGGCCGTTTGAATCATTTTGACTTGTCGAAAAATTATTGAATCAATATTTTTGGCTTCAAAAGGACCAAAGAACGCTCGTATGCACGCCCGTACTAATCGCAGAATGTAAAAATATGAAAAGATGTGTTTTAGTAACTACCACTAAATAGTAAAATCACTGAAATATTTCCAGCGGTTCTACGTATTTTCGTCTCGGAAGAATTGGGGAATATAGTCTATAAGCCAAATTTCAGCCAAAGTACATGCAGTACATTTATTAAGCTCCAACTGGCCAACTGCTTTTAAAAACGGTTTTTTTAAGTCAAGCAGTAGGCTGTTTAACTCGCAAAACGCATTTTCACATGAATAATTTAAAATTTAATTTTAATTGTATATTAATAATCTAAAAAGTGAGACTCATTTAGGAGGCGAAATCCTTCAATGTTTTAAATCCAATATATTGCAGCAATTTCAATCCGCTTTGGAGTTACAATGATTACAGTAGGTTTTCTTTAGGTTTTCAAATATTGATTATATAGATTTCGGACTAAATTGTGGAGGGCATTGCTCTGCATTTTTATATTATAAGATATTTAAGTTAAGATTTAAAAAATGAAGAAATATGCAAAAAACATTAACTTCGGATTTTCACAGTTTCAAAGTAAATAGTACGAAGGACTTTGCTTAATTTATTAAAAATTGAGTTGTTCAACATCAAGCAAAAATGTATTCGATTCAATTGAGGCCAAACTGGCTTATATCCCCCATATTCAATTAAAGCAAAAAAAACTGTCTCGAGGAAGATATAGGCTCATGCACATATTTGCGTTAAATATTAATTTATACTAAACATTTCTTTTGTAGATGATCTTGTCCTATGGTTTTAGAAACTTGATATAAGTACTCGTACATTTGAACATTTAACAAAACGAAATAAATTTAGTTATGTCGAGCAAAATGCTATAAATCCATACTTTAAGGAGATAAACAGATAGATCTAATAAACAGAAAGCTGTAAAACGTATTACTCTGAGGTTGAAATAAAATACTACCTACCCGAAAAAACTGTTTCATTTGATTTACTTAAGGCCAGATCGTTGTACAACTTTTCTTAACTTACATCGATTTACAGTTCTTTAGAAGCTAAATTTAAAAAATATAAGAAAAGATAATTTAATCGCAATTAATGTTTGAAGGATTTTTCGCATCGATTTCAAATTTCGTTTTCAAAGGAATAAATAAATAAAAATACAGATATAAACCAAAATCTATTAAATTCAAATTAACAATTGATAAAAGTATTATTATCGCTGTGCTCATGTGTAATGTTGAAACAATGTTATTTTGATCATGAAATCAAACAATCAAATAGTGCCATGTTCAGTTTAGAACAAAAAACGTGATCTAAACTAGCACCCAATTGCACCGTGAAGTGCTGCTTAGAATTCATCTCTGATGAAAGGGTGGTCTTTGTGATCGTAGGCACTGAAAAAAAAACGGTTATTTAGAAACAATTAATCAAAAGGGCTGAGTTACATCTATCATTTTGAGACTCAAAATGATGGCGGAAAAACACACGTGATGTAGTTTTTCACGTTTTCACGATCATTTAGTTGATCAAATAAGCAACATGTAGATAATAAGTCCTTTGACGTAATGTCTAAAATGTATGTAAATATGTAAGTAGTTCTATCTTAAACGCCTTCTAAAGCCTGATTTATAAACTTGGCGTTTTCGTAGCCGCTTCACGTGTTACAACAATTAAACTACTGTTTAAATACATTGCTGTATCAGGTGGAATCGACTACACAAACATAGACAAACTCATAAAGCATATGGATATCGTTATGAGACTGACTGAGATGTTTAGTAATTTGTTCCACTGTAATGCTAACGAGGAATTTAACCAACTAAAAAAGTTGAAGTGCAATATTTCAGAACCTTTTAAGTTTTTTAATTAACTTTACTTAATTTCACTGCAATAACCTTTCCCATTACTTTTTCAAAAAAATTAGTTTTAATTTATTTACTATTCTACAATATTCGGTTCCAGTAACTATTCTACAATCTTGTAGCAAAGTGAAATATAACACTTACTCATCATATGGGCAGATTCTTCCGTTGCAATCGAACGAGTTCAAGTGCTTAATATCTTCAGGGGACAACTTGAAGTCCCAAATGTTAAAGTTCTGTTGAATTCTGGACTTGGTGACTGACTTTGGAATGACAATTAGGTTCCTTTGAATTCCGTACCTGCAAGTAACATTAATTAATAGATATTATTTCATTGTTTTTATTCTATATTTACCTGATTACAACTTGAGCAGGAGTTTTTCCATATTTTTGGGCAATCTCCTTGATTTTGGGATCGTCCAAGAGTTGTGGGTCGCCAGGCTTGGCCCAGGGCCTGTCTGGGGATCCCAAAGGACTGTACGCAGTCACTACAATCCCTTTAGACTGGTTATGAGCAATCAGTTTCTCTTGATTTAGGTAAGGATGAGTTTCAATCTGGAATTCAGAAAACAAATCTTAGATTTAAAACATTGATGATAAGATATTGTTTGTAAAAGTTGGCGTTTTTTCCGGATAGATCTAATTTGAGTTGCCCATTGCCATTTTAGTCCAATAGCTATCTAACTTAAAAAAATACTTTTTCTTACAAGACGCGCGTAATATGTATGATGAGACTTAAAAGATGTTTAGTCTTTTTTTTAATTTGATTTGAACTTAAATATATCTACATCAGCGCTATATCTGAAACTATTTCACTTAGAATTTGAATATGAAAAATACATCAAAGGAAACAATGAAAAAATGTTGGAAATTAGTTAGACGTTTCACATTTTATCCATTAATAGTATAAAAATGTAATTTTTAATTTATACTCTATTAATTGGATCTTACATCTCCAAACTGTAGATTATATGTACGTATTTATTCGGCAACGAACGAACCTCCAAACAAATGTTTTAAATGCTGTCCGATTATGAGGCGATAAAAAGTATCTTCTTGTGCAAAATTATTGTTACTTAGTCGTCGATATTAGGCCTAGGTAACACTGTGTTGAGTTGCGCTATTGAGTTGTTGCCGCTCTTTGAGTTAACGAGTTTACTCATCAGTTAATGAGTTATAAGTCATTTATTAAAGCTTTACGAGACCCGAGAGTGGAATTTTCACATCTAAAAAAGTCATTAACATTTTTTCTGCATAACGTTTTACTACTTTGTTCAATCAACTAAAAAAAAGTAATCTAGATTATTTCGCATTAAAGATTCAGTTCAGCCAGTATTTTACAGTAAAACTTTAGGAAAAACGCAGTTTTTCTGTTTAGAGACTGCTGTTTAGAAATATTGATCTAAAAGTGAAGAAACCCCAGTTTCCAAGAGTTTTCCAAATAAATGATTACAAACTTTCGCTTTTTCAGTTCGGGGAAAATATTTTTGGAAAAATACCCACAAATCATTATTAGGATTTTGTCCATAATTCGAAGATGCAAAAAGTTTTCCAAACATTTTTGGAAATCGGTTACAAAGGCGAGTGTTCCACTAAAATTTATCTTATAATTTTTCACAGAAAATACCTGAATATTGTCAGAATTTTAAGTAAAACCAAAATAACGCGATTTTTGAGTAGTTGAAAGAATGGTTTAAAAGAAACTTTGTTAAAACTGGAATGACCTGACAATTTAAAGGAACTATAAAAATATTTATGTTTTAGATACCTACTTAGAAATTACCATAGTTTTGAATCATCCTGTATAAACTTATATGTAGTGTGTAAATTAATATGTTATTCAACTTCCAAACATTTTAAATTTAATTTCAAGTGCGCTATTTATTTTCTGATTAGGTACCGACATTTCAAATCACTTTTGCAAAACAACCAGAGCCTCACGATAAATTGCTTTTGTAATAAAGCATTTTAAACGTTCTTTCACTTCAATATCTACGGTCCACACTTATCAGCAGTAAGTAGCAATAACAGAATGGCAACCGCTTTTAAGGTTTGATTTATTGAAAGTACTTCTCCAGCACTAGAACTGTTATCAGTTATTATTACCACACGACTTATCGAAACTAACGTAACAATCCTCTGTCATCAAAATCCTGAATTATCGCTAAACTCGTGCAGAAAAATAAGCCTAATCATGTTTTTTTCAGCCAAACAAGTTCTGGTTGTTCACAGGCATGTTGTTTTAAATGATAAGCTATATGCAAATTAGATTTGGAAAGCTAACCTGGTTGGTCGCAGGTGGAATGGAACAGTTGGCCAATAGTCTTTCCACTTGCTTCTTGTTGAAGTTGGAAATTCCAATGGATTTGGTCAGACCTTTCTTGACAAGTCCTTCCATCGCCTTCCATGTGTCTAGGTAGTCTACCTCGCTGAAGGCCGTCGTGCCATCGGCATTTTTGGGGAATAGCTCATCATCTTCCTATTAAAAATGCTGCCTGTACATCAATACTTTCAAACAGTTTTTCAATAAGTCACCTTAAGTGCAAAAGGCCAATGGATCAGATACAAATCTAGATATTGAAGGCCTAAGTCCTTCAAAGTGGTTCTGATGGCTGGTTCGACCAAGTCTGGTCTATGGAAGGTGTTCCATAGTTTACTGGAAAGAAAAAAATCTGTAAACTAACAGTTTTGGTTTCCCACTAAAGAAAGTGTATACTCTATTGAATATGTCCAAAATGGCAGACAATTAAAAGACTAAAAGAATTTCGCTTTAAAAAATTAGTATACATTTAGGTTTATGATTTCTTTGAAAAAAATCGAAGTTTGCGAATTTTTATTATGTTTTTCTTCGGCGTTAATATCAAAGCTGGAGCAAAACCGACAACCCTTTGTTATAGAAAATGTAACTCATATGTTTTTCTTAATATGATCCTGTTTGATAATCAACAGACTCTAAAATATATTTTTCTGAATTAAACGATGTTAATGTTTCCTTATATTATTAATGTAATTATTATTTCTTATACTCAATCAATTATTTACAAAATTGATATCCAGAAAAGTATGCTGGTGTTCGCTGTTATTCTCGTTAGTGTCGATTAGAGAAAAGCAAATCACTAAAAACAGAAAAAAAAAGAAACACAAGCAGTTAAAATTGGATATTTTTAATTGATCCAAAACATCGAGAAAAGATTTTCAAAGGCAGAAAAGTTTTATTATGCTTTATTTCCAAACAATTTAAAGCCTGTTTTTGAATAAGAATCCTGAAAGGACACAACCAGATTAAAAACAACCACTAACATTAAAGGCAACCCGCATTTAAGAAGCCAGTGAAAATAAGGACAGCGATGATGAAAACTTAAGCGAAGTATTGTTGGCTAAGAACTCAGGACTTTTAACAGGACTATTTATAGAAAGTTGAATGTTTTAATATCAACAGCACATATCATATGGAAAAGGGAAAGGTTTTATTTGTTGAAATGCAAAATGTGCCGATGGCTTAGAACAAGTGATCCAGAAAGATGTCGATAATTCTGGCATTGGTTTACTAAGAAATGTACAATTTTCCTTACCAAATCAAATTTTGGGAAATATGGGTTTTTACGATCATAATTTGGCTTATCCATAGCAGATACTTAAAGGTGCTTCAACAGTATTTGAAGGACGTTCTCAATAATCTGTTTAGTCAAAGTACGCAATTATTGATTTCCGCATGACGATACACCTGAGAATAACTCGAGGACGCTTCGGGAACATCATTTTTTTTAAGTAAGACTTTTAAGCACGTATTCTGACACCCCTGGCCAGCACGATCACCCGATATCACACCACTCAATTTATTTTTCTGGTTATATATTTCAAGAATTCGTTATGAGTTTTGTAACTGAAACCGAACTTCGCAGATTTGTAACTGCAGCTTTTAAAAGTACATATAACATATAACATATTTATAGTGTACTAAAAGTGTACAGTTTAGAGATGCTATTTGTGCTTAGAAAACTTTGTTATTGATTTTCAATTTTATTGTTCAAAATTCTATGTTTTTTCTTAATTTCAATTATTTCCTTTAATTCCGAATATTTTTTAAAAGAAAAAAATGGAAAATTTTAAGTAATAATTTAGCAATTTTGACATTTGATATTTGCAAGTAAACTTTTCTGAAGCTCTATCTTAGAAACTGATAAATTCAATTAAATGTTAATATTTTACACATCTATGAATTCTGAAGAAAAGTAACTAATGGATTTTGATAACAAAAATGTAGGATCGTACGAAAAAAAGAAATTGATTATGGTTCCTGAAAACGCCCCGTCCAAGAATAAATCTAGTAATGTGGTTCTCATGCCGTCTTAAAGTTGATATAAGAAAGTATAGTCGGTTTTGCTCTACCTTTGAAATTAGCACCAAAAGACAATTTAATTGATATCCGAAAATTCCTGTGAGAAGTTCCAAAGCGTCACTTTATTAGCCGTTTAATTTCTCAACTTTTCACCCAGTTAACATCAGAATCCCATTCTGGTTTTCATCTTGGGCACAAACTTTTCTATGCTACTTGCCTTGTAATATAGATTTCTTCTCTTTTGACGGTTCCATCAGCAATTTTAGCTTTGATAGCTTCTCCAACTTCAGCTTCATTTCCATAAATATGGGCACAATCGATGTGGCGGTAGCCGATGTCGAAGGCATCCTTCACGGCTTGAGTAACTTCACCGGGTTTTGACTAAAGCAGAAACAATCCGATTATTTCATTGCATTTTAAGTTGCGTTTATTATCATAGTTTGTGTTTCAACAATGAAAATGTTTAAGTTCATATTTTTTATCAATTGCGGCTGAGAAGTCCTATGAAAATAATTAATAATTGCAAAAGTTTGACTTTTTTTAATTGCAAAGTATTAAAAATATTATTATAAATGAACTAAAGTTTTATCTGCAGCTAATTTAAATGACAAGCTATATATATTTTCGTTTCGACAGAAATACGAATACACTGTTATCGTATTGCTAACAACAAATTATTCGGAACAAAGTTCTGATGTTGTTGACAAGGGTTTGGCAATTTATTGCTTTTCAACGGAAAGTTATGCCAAATTAAACTTGCATTTTTAAAACATATTTTTTAAAATAGATTTTCTATTATCTTTTATAATGCAAAATGTGATTTATTTGAAATACAAAGCACTTCAGTTAAGTGATAAAATAAACTTTAATGTAAAAAATATAATTTTATTCAGTGAAGACATTATTTTTAGCTACAATGTTGGAATGGAGAAATTTCAACTTTATTAAAACCGATTGATATATGCAGAGGATACAACGTTGTTAGCAGCATTAGCGGAGGAAATATCGGACCTCCTAAACCGCGTTGAAACAGAGCCAAAGGTGCGTCCTTAAAATAAATGGAGATCAAACCAAAATTTTTATTGTCGATAGCTCTGAAGCTCTGCCATATGCATATTTTAAATTGCAGATCATGTTAACTACTGTTCAAAGAGCGACATCCGAAGAAGAATAAGAATGGCCAAACTTCCAATGATTATCTCAAATCTTAGTTATAAAATGAGTACTTAGTTGAATTACTGATTTTCATCATCATCATCTGAAACCTGGACAACTAAAGCAGCAGACAACAGAAAGGAAATTTATGCAGGAGAAAGAGAAGAAATAATTGTGGTGCTGGAGACACATGATCCTAAGTTCATAAAGTAATGACTGTAATAGTAATAGTACGTAATGACTGTAATTTCTAAGTAATTTAGTAATTTTCAATCAAATATCAGCAATTTATAACTTGTACCCATTTTTTTTAATTTCTTATTTATTATG